CTAAAACCCTAAAACCTAAAACCCTAAAGCCTAAACCCTAAAACCCTAAACCCTAAACCCTAAAACCCTAAACCCTAAACCCTAAACCCTAAACCCTAAAACCCTAAACCCTAAACCCTAAACCCTTAATTCAAGAACCTTAAAGCCCTTAAATGACCCCCGCCACTGCTCGGAGGCCGATGGCAGCGCCATCGAGGCCGCCAGCGTGGTGGCCATCAAGAACGGCGGCTCTGATTCCTTTAAGGGCTCCTTTAAGGGCTCCTTCAAGAGGATTCTTTAAGGGCTCCTTTAAGAAGGGTTCGTTTAAGGACTCCTTCAAGAGGATTCTTTAAGGGCTCCTTTAAGGGCTCGTTTCAGGATTCCTTCAAGGGCTCCTCTAAGGATTCCTTTTTAAGTTTTAAGGGCTCCTTCAAGGGTTCGTTTCAGGATTCCTTTAGTTTAAGGGTTCGTTTAAGGGCTCCTTTAAGGGTTCGTTTAAGGGCTCCTTGAAGGATTCGTTTCAGGATTCCTTTAAGGGCTCCTTTAAGAAGGATTCCTTTAAGGGCTCCTTTAAGAAGGATTCCTTTGAGGGCTCCTCTAAGGATTCCTTTAAGGGCTCCTTTTAAGGGCTCCTTGAAGGGCTCCTTTAAGGGCTCCGGGGTTCGTTTGAGGGCTCCTTTGAGGGTTCGTTTAAGGGTTCGTTTAAGGGCTCCTTTAAGGGTTCGTTTAAAAGTTCTTTTAAGGGCTCCTTTAAGGGCTCCTTTAAGGGTTCGTTTCAGGGTTCGTTTAAGGGCTCCTTTAAGGGTTCGTTTAAGGGTTTGTTTAAAGGCTCCTGTAAGGGTTCCTTTCCTTTAATTTAAGGGTTTTGTAAAGGTTCCTTCAAGGGCTCCTTTATCCTTTAAGGGTTCCTGCAGGGGTTCCTTCAAGGGCTCGTTTCGGATTTCAGTGTTCCTTTTTTCTTTGCGCAGAGCTTTTTGGGGCTTCTGAAATTTTCTGTGGATCAGGAAGGGTTCAGGGTTCCTTGACAGGGATCCACGATCGTTAAATTTTGTTTTGCAGAGCTCCGGGGTTTTGCGTAATATTACCCTAAGGGTCCAAGTACCCAAGAAGCATGTACTCTTCTGAATTCTAGCCTACAAAACCACTATCCGTAACCCAAGTACATGATTATCGGGTCCTTAGGACCCTTGGGTTAGGGTTTACTTAAAGGACTAAGGTAACTATACTTCTATTTGCTGCGAACCCCAAGTAACCTTACTTACTAAGTCCCATGATCCTCCAAGTAGGGTTTGGGTCGGGGTTTTGGGTTTAGGCGTTTAGGGTTTAGGGTCTCCGGAGTCGGGGGTTAGGGTCTCTTAGGCGTTTTAAGGCTTCAGGGCTAAGGGATCAGGGGCTATGAGCGTTTCGAGACTACTGATACGACCTGTTTTCTACGTCCCCAGAAGGCTGCAAGTATGTGCGAAGAGCCTTAATTCTCATTTCTGCAGCGCTGAATAAGCACATTGAGACACTGACGCTTAGGGCATCCATGCGCTGACATCCCGGAATTCCTGATACAAAGTCAAATTTGACCTGGCGCGGACTCACGTGGCTAGCTTGTATACCTGAAATTGGGTTGATATTCGGGCCTTGGAGACTACATACTAACATGTAGGGCGCCTTGAACAGTAGTTGTGAGTGTATGTTTTGCCAGCAAGTTGTTTACTAAAAAGGGCTTGCTTGCAGTCGGCATCCGGTTGTTTTTGGAATTATCTATACATTGGTCTGACATCAGGGCTTAGGGTTTAGGGTTTAGGGTTTAAGGCAATTCCTTTTCCCCTGATGTCAGTTGCTGCCGAGGAACGTTGTACTCAGACGTCATCGCCTATGCCAAAGAAGCACGCCTCTAGCCTGCCATGTAGCTTCAGGGTTCGGGTCCCAACCTATGCTCCATGAATAGGCCTCACAGTTTATCGGGCCTTATAAGGCGTATAACCCTAAACCCTAAACTTTGCCCTAAACCCTAAACCCTAAACCCTAACCCTATGCATCCTCAGCCCTAGAGAACAGCAGGCGGCATCCTAGTGTACTCTGAGGAGCCAGCACAAGGATTATGGGACGAGGTTCTCATCCCGACCCTCAACCCCCGAACCCCTACTAAGACCCTTAGCCTGCAGCTCTACAGACATGTTCGGGGCTTGGAATTTCAAGAGACGGGAGTTTCAGATGACAAGGGACCCTACCATAGAGCCGTAGATGGCACAAAAGCCCCGCCAAAAATAAAGGTGCTCCTGTCATTTGAATGAAGTCGACCCCCAGCGGTTTCGGCACTTGAGCTTCGAAGCACAGGTATCTGTTCTTCTGCGCCTTACTTAAAGGATCGTGGGACTTAGTAAGTAGGGTTATAATTAGGGTAACTATACTTATAACCCCAATTAAGGAACTTATAACCTCACTTACTAAGTCCCATGATCCTCCAAGTAAACCCTAGACTCAATATAAAGCCTTTGATCAACCCTGCATTCGCCAAGGTGCGAAGGGATTGAAAGTGCCATTGCTCTTGATGGGCTCCTCGGTCGGCTTGTGCACCAGGGTTTCAGGCTTCCAGTTTGCGGGTCTAGGGTTTGGGGGTTTCAGGGTCTGGGGGTTTAGGGTTTAGGCTTTGCAGGTTTAGGGTTTAGGGTTTGGGAGTTCCTAAACCCTAAACCCTAAACCGGGTTTAGGGTTTGGGGGTTTGGGAGTTCAGGGGTCTAGGGTTTGGTGTTTGGGCTTCTGAGTTTGGGCAACTCACAAAGTCACTTACAAGTTCTGGTCTGGGGTTTAGGGTTTAGGGTTTAGGGTTCCGGCCTGGTCCATTCGGCAACTCATTTCAATTTCTGAAACATACACCTTTAAACTCCCCTTCACCCCTAAACCCCTAAACCCCTAAACCCCTAAACCCTAAACCCCTCAACCCTAAACCCCTCAACCCTAAACTCCTGAACCCCTAACCACTGTTCTAGGGTGACTATAGTTACCCCCCCTCAACGAAAAAGAAGCTACAAACTCTAGCACCCTAGCTCTGCTCAAAAACTAAACCCTAAACCCTAAACCCTTAATTCGCTGAATCCTGCGACAAGGCTACTACAACTCATTCCTGGCTGCTGGAGTGGAGGCCACATGCAAGGCCGGTCACTGCTTAAAGGATCACGGGGGTTTAGGGGTTTAGGGGTTTAGGGTTTAGGGTTTAGGGTTACTTAAAGGATCATGGGACTTAGTAAGTAGGGTTTAGGGTTTAGGGTTTAGGGTTACTCAAAGGATCATGGGACTTAGTAAGTAGGGTTTAGGGTTTAGGGTTACTTAAAGGATCATGGGACTTAGAAGTAGGGTTATACCTCAGGTAATTATACTTATAACCCCATTTAGGGGACTTAGAACTTTACTTACTAAGTCCCATGATCCTCCAAGTGCAGTTTTTGCAAGGAAGCAGCCGGGTTTGGAATGGAGGATTTTCCTCGAAACTGGCATCATTAGCGGTTTAGGGTTCAGGGTTTGGGGTGGAATACAGACGCCTGCGTAATTTGTGATTGATACTATTCCTCGGGGTTCTTGTAAATCCTCATGTGGGTAGTTATCTAAATTAGGGTCCCTGTTCAATTAGGTCCCCAGTATAGTACGGACGGCACCCTTATATACAGGATCCTGAAAGGGACCTTAATTTAGAGAACCACCGAAACAGAAAGAACCCTTATAGTACCCTTATAGAATCCCTATAGACACCCCCTATAGATAGATCCCTTTAGTAACCCCGAAAGGGACCCTACTTCAAGGATCATGGGACTTAGATATTTACTTATAACCCCAATTGAGGGACTTATAACCTTACTTACTAAGTCCCATGATCCTCCAAGTAGCAATGTCTTCACGTAGGTTTGAAAGAACACTTATAGAAACCCTATAGACACCCTTAGAGATCCCCGTTAGTAACCCTTAAAGGGACCCTAGCAATGTCTTCAGAAAGAACCCTTATAGAAACCCTAAACCCTCATAGATCCCTTTAGTAACCCCTTGAAGGGACCATAGCAATGTCCTAAACCCTAAACCCTAAA